ATCTGGAGATCCTAATAGCAAGCCTGACAGCTCCACTGTATCGGGTGACCTTAAAAACAAGTCTGATAGCTCCACGATATCAGAAGATCCTGATAACAAGCCTGACAGATCCACCAAATCAGGAGACCCCAGTGATAAATTCGAAAGCTCAACTGTAGCAGGAGGCTCTAATACCAAGTCGACTGTATCTGGAGATTCTAATAACAAGTCTGACAGCTCCACGATATCAGAAGACCCTAACAACAAGCCTACCGATAGCACCACAGTAGCAGGAGGATCTGCCACCAAGTCGACTGTATTCGGAGATCCTGATAACATGTTTGAAACCTCAACTGTTACAGGAGGCTCTAATTCGGCCGGTCTTTCTCGTTCAACGAAACATCCTTCTGTAACTAAGTTCCCAATCACTCCTAGCATAGCCATAGATCTGACGTCTATGGAGAATGATATACTATCAGAATCTAATACCCCATCTGGAAACTTGAAAGAAGCACAAAGTTCTGCAACAGCTTCCGTGTTTACGAAAAGCTCAACAACTGCTGATCGCATTCTTGAGAGAGCTTCTAGTATTAATGGATTCCCATCTCAAACTAGCGCCCCTTCTACTATACCTGTTGACATTCTATCCACTGTTCTGAAGACCTCCACAACTCGTTCAGTTGATGATTTCAAAAATACTAATAATGGAGCTCAATCTCAAAGTAGTACCTCTGCAGGCCTAGCTTCCGAAACCGATAGCACAACAACTTCTTCTAAACATTTTAAAAGTTCAACTATGACCCATCTGTCATTCTCTCAACATACTTCCTCGGTTGAATCTTCAATTGAGCCTACTACTGAGTCTACTACCGTGAATTCACAAGATGTTCAGAATTCAAAAACATCTCATAAACAAACTTCAACCACTGAACTTGGAGTGAACAGTTTCACTTCTAAAGTTGATAAAAAACAAACAACAGAGCCAGGTTTCTTCCGCAGTTCTTCTCGTGGTGTTGATAGTTCAACTAGCTCTACTAGATTCATGGAAACTACTCCACATGAAGAATTGTTAGTGAAATCTAGCACTGATCCAAGCATCACTAGCGACGAGAGAAATCCAACAATTCACTCAAAGACTGCTGGTATCACAACAATTGCTGATGGATTAGTTGTTAGATCTTCATCAATATCCGAAAAAATGTTTGAATCTACAACTCCTTCAAACCATATCGCGAACGCAGATAAATCATCAACAGCTTCCAACTCGAAACCTAATTCGTCATCAAAGGGTTTCCCTTCTGTGGATATTGAAACATCCGAAGCTACTACTCATGTCTCTGAACCATCTCCTCGTGGTAGAACTACTCCAACACATCCTGCTGATAGTTCAACTAAAGCTTCCACAAAGAACAGAGTTTTCACTGCTTCCACGGGTGGCCGGCTTAATGAACAAATCGTTAATCATATGACTACTATCGGAACTAAACAACCAGCACGGTCTACCAGGAGGCATAGCTCAACTGCTTCCTCTGGCCTGTTCACTGATGCTACTGAGCATAATAACATGAAAGGAAGCACAACAAGCAATAATGAAGAGATAACAACTATAACTGCTAAGCCCGTCTTCGACATCACATCTACTCCCAAAAAAAAGAATACAAAAACATCATCAAAACATAGCTCAGGTGTAAAAACTACTACACCAAGTTCGATTTCCCATTCATCCCCTTCATCTCAAACAACACATGAATTGACACCCGAGCCTCAGGTAGAGTTGATATGGCCGGATATGCTACTACCAGAATTCGAAGGAACTGATTCTCCCATTTCGGATGTGTCCACAGAAAAGCCTTCATCTATTGCCTCTACTAATACTTTCTTTTCAAAACCCACAACCAAAAAGAGGCAACCATCAGCTCAAACTACAACTACTGCTAAAACCAGTGGTGACCATCACGTTTTTTACACACCATTTCCAATTGACACTAGCTTCACCAATTATGGCACTTATCACGCTTCCAGCACAAATGCACCTGTCGATGAAGTCGACAACACCGCCACTCCACCGCCTTTCGATCCTTTAGAGGAAGATAATCCGTACTTTCCAGCTGCTACAACTACTTCAGCAGATGATATTGAAATTCATAATAATGAATTGAACCGTGCATCATCAAACTTGCCCCATGGAAAGTAAGTTTATCCCTTTCCAGAGTGCTCTTATCTTATCTACTTTAGATGCTCCGAACGTGATCGCAGCCAGTGCCATGAGTTGGCTATCTGCCATGTATCTAGCGGAGTTTGTCGTTGCAAAGATGGATTTGAAGGAGATGGCTACAAGTCTTGCAGGTATTTGTTTATTTTTTTCAATGTTTGTACACCTCTCACTATTTTAGACGAGTTGATGGATTAGATTGTGTTAAGAACTCTACAATTTGCCACTCTTCTGCTACATGTGACAGACATACACGTCGTTGTGAATGTCCTGTTGGACATATTGGAGACGGAATCTTATGTTCTCCTGACCCACAAGATTGTTTGATTCGTGAAGATCTATGCTCACCTGATGCTATTTGCTCTGGACGTCGCTGTCAATGTGTTGAAGGTTTCACTGGTGATGGAATCAAGTGTGTTTCCATTCATCAACGTTCCTCTAACTGTTCTGAATGTGACTCGAACGCTCATTGCTCTAAAGGAATATGCGAATGCAATGTAAGAGAATATTTTATCTAGTCAGTTCTATATTTAATTTTTCTAGGCCGGGTACTTTGGTAATGGACTATGCTGTGTGCCTGATCCAAGAGATTGCTTGCACTTCCCTGGTGTATGTCACCCATCTGCAACCTGTAACAACCAAACCCGACAATGCTCATGTGATGAAGGCTACTTGGGTGATGGCATCCAATGCTTACCCAAGCTTTCTTGCCGTTCTGATCCATCTGTATGCCATCGTAATGCAATCTGTCTGCCCTCCGGACAATGTATATGTCAACATGGATATGAAGGAAATGGACATCATTGCGCTAAACGTGAGTTTGAAATAATGGAAAAGTTAAGTACTGTTCAAATTGATTTTCAGTTTCTGCCAACTCCTTACACAGACCTGCTCTTCATGATCCTTCTACCTCTTGTGAAAAGCCATGTGATAATCTATCCGAAGTTTGTGTGAAAGGAAATTGTCAATGTAAGAATGGCTTCGAACAAAAGTCAAACGGAAAATGCCAAGGTAGGAATGCTTCAAAGCCAACATAAGCTCAAGTTTATTGTTCAGATATTGATGAATGCAAAGGAACTAATAATTGTCATCATTTGGCTACTTGTCATAACCAACCAGGCTCATACAGATGCCAATGTCCAGAAGGATATGTCGGCGATGGAAGTGTTTGCGTCAAGCACATTCGTGTTGGAGAACTTTCCGTATTCTGTGAGCCTGATGGCATGACTTTGGTGCTTGGAAATGAAACTGAGCTATTCGAAGGACGAATCTTCGTTCGTGGACAAGCTGAGAATCCTCATTGTTCTAAGATGTTCTCTTCTTTACAACAAAATGTAAAACCCTACACCTTCAAAGTGCCATTTGAGCACTGTAATGTCCAATTAGAGAATCATGTAAGTTACTTCTTCTAATAATGCTATCTCATTCTGGATTTTTTCAGGACACCTTCGCTGCTACTGTCATTGTTCAGAAGCATCCAATGTTCATAACCACCTCAGCTGATGCTTACGACCTCAAATGTACTTATCCAACTGGAGTTCGTGAAGTCGAGTCTCATGTCAACGTTTCTGAATTAGCGACTTCTTCCACTTTGTCCGATAAGTCTGAAGGACCATTGTGCAAGATAAGCGTCATGAATGAACGTGATGAGTCCATCAATGCTGCCACTGTTGGTCAAGCTTTACGGCTTCGACTTGAAGTTTCTCCAAACCAAACCTATTCCATCTTACCTCGCAACTGTTTTGCTATTAATATCGAAACTGGAGAACGTTACTCTCTAACTGACAAGGCTGGATGTGCTATTGATGATCAGTTATTCCCTGAATGGATTCGGGTTAGACCATCTATTACCGAAGCTGTATTCAAGTATGTCAATTCTAAACTTAACCATATTCATATCTTATTTCTTTCAGAACATTCAAATGGCCTGATAGCTCCATTATCAGATTCCAATGTGATTGCAGTGCCTGTGTTGGTGAATGTCCTCCAGTTGACTGTGATCGTCGTCGTGAAGCAGCTATGAGAAAGTTCCGTTTCCGTCGTGCTCATTCTGACAATGCTACTGAGACTATTGAAAATGACGACAGTGATGAAGTTTTGGAAACAGAATTAGTCACTTCTAATCGCATGGTCTTCTCCAATCTCGTGAAAGTTCATGAAGATGATGAGCAGGTGCGAGCAGAAGAGCAAGTAGAATCATGGCGTCGCGGTAGCCCAGCTGGTGTCGTCATGAAATCAACAGCAACTCTCACAGAATCAGTTTGCATGCGAACAATTCTGTTAGTGATGTCAGCTCTTAGTACAGCATTCTGTTGTGGCTTCCTTGTGATACTTGTGATTGTTCGTTGTCGGCGACGTCAATCAAGAATATCCAAAGATGTCCTCTCAACAGATTCTCCAATTTCTGTTATAAGCTTTTAGTCAAATTATTTCTTCTCAAAATCAGACAAATATTTTATCTCATTTACTGACATAAGGGTATAGCTTATTTTAAATAGCATTTTCTTGTCATTCCAGTAATCTCCATGATCTGTTTTGTTAATTTATAGTTAATATAGTAATAATTGTGTATGCTTTTCCTTCTTCTTCTTCTTCTGTGATTTATATGTAACTTTAATTGTTTTAGTTTGTTTTATCGATGTTTTGCATACTGTTAATAAATATTCATAAATACGAGGATTGTCTTGTCTAATTGAGATCTCGTGTGTCTCATTAACGCTGTTCTGGTTGCATTCCATGCATATCTTCAATCTTCTTTGCAACAAGGAAGTAATTAAACAATAGATTTATTAAAATGCTTTGTATTATATTAACAAGTCTTATAACAATAGAAAAAATTAATAAGTGGATTGAAAACTCTGTATGCATGAGCAAGAAAGCCTTCCATTCTTGGTTCTTCCGATGGCTTACTATCCACGTCGTCTCTTGAAAACTGCCATTCGTGAGTAACTGTTGGAAATCTGATGCACTGTTTAATTAGAAAGCAAACGCATAAGCATCTCACCTCCACACAGTGGGTTGTCCTTCGTGTGCAACTGTATCACGGAAAAGAGATGTATTCCAATTGAAGACTGGTGTTGGGTAATTTGTGGGGCCGGAGATGGCTGCAAATTGGAACTTCTCCATGAGCTCGGCGTTTGTGACCTGTTTGAATAATGAATTTCTTTTCAGTTCTATCACGAACCTTAACATCTGTAGCACCCATGTCTAAGAAACCACGATCAGCAATTGGGTAAAAGCCATCAGGATCATTCAAATCTCCACGAGCAGAGATAGCACTTTCGGCTGAATAAGGAGGGTCGCATTCGTGGCAGTGGGAAAACTCGTCCGTTTTGTAATTGTTGGACCTCATAAGCTTGATTAGAGTAACAAGATCCACTACGAAATGATGATCTCTTCGGAAAATATTAGCCCGTGGTGCATGATCATAACTGAATACGAGTCTATCTTGGGCTCAGCATAAGGGTTAATACCTGTACCAATCCCCAAACTGCTGAACCATATGAGTTGCGCCACTTATATTGAAGATATCAGGGAAATAGCTGAAATAATATGATAAGATGTTTTTTTCGGTTCGAACACATACGCTCTGTTATAACTTGGCCAATAGGTAGTCTCGAACAGTTGGTGACTCTTGTCAGCACGAGCAATATGAGATCTGTAAGCATATTCTGGCGTTGATGTTGATTTCAGAACTTACGGCATTTGTTCCATAACAGTCAATAGTCCTAAAGTTTGAGTTCGTTCTCCTTTCTTGAATAGCTTGTAATCTAAGACGACAAATTGGTTGTTATAGGTTCCACTGTTATATTTTGAAAAAGTTTGGACCCAAGTGGAGCCATTGTTTGCTGCTCTAGTGGCGATCTCAAAAGACAGAAATCGCTTGAGATGATTCGTGAACTATATACCTGAGTTCTAAGATATGTAGGAAGACTCTCAGGAATCATAAACTTGTAAAGCTTTTCATTGTGTAATTCAATTGTTGTTTCTAAGATTGCTAGTTTTGCAGACGATATCAAGAAATCATCTATCGAATTGACAGTTCCTACAATACCAATATGAGGTAGCTTTTCAATAAGTCCTCTACCTGGATATCCACTGAAACTGTATGTGTGGCCAGGAATATCAAGAGCAAAAGAGTATTTCTTTTGAATTCTAGTCATACTTGCGTATGTAAACCAGGTGACATGTGAAAACAAAATATCCGAGAAATCAGGTAAAAGCTGTAACTTGCTTTAGAAGCAATTATAGGCATATTATTACCTTGACGATAGCAGAGCAATGTGTTTTTCCTGTTTTGATAGGACCATCCTTCTTATCGAACTTCTTCTCTAAGTCCATGAAATCACCTAGCCATTGAAGCATACTGAGAAATGATTGATTAGGATGAAATGTGAAAATTTAAGTATTTACTAAATAGGATGTCTGACAATATCTTTGGATGGCAGCTTCTCTGAGATGATTCCACTATAACCATCGATGATTCCCTGTATCTGTCTTATAGTCATATGAACCTAAAGTTATGGTTCTGAAGGGTAACAACAGTTTATCGCACTTGTTTCCAATAGGTACTGCTAGGATTTTGCTTGATTTGATTCATTGTCCAATTGAAGTTCGTTTCCAAATAAGCAAACAACTTATTGCAATACTCTTTGTTTCCTTTGCAGTATGGCTTGATCATGTTGTTTATATGATAGGTTATGAGTTTCTGAGTTAGACGTCCCTCAGTATATCCCATCACATATCCTTGATCAAGCATATCCATTTGCTTATCCAGTATACTCATTTCCAAATAAGCCCAACTGCAGCAAGTTTATGGATAATACTTCTTCATGCTTACCCAGTTTCATTGATCTCATTTCGATAAAGGGCTTTCGCTTCCTTCTTCTTGCATAAAGCATCAGCGGAGCTATCGGTGGCAATGGTCAATCCATCAGAATTCTTGCATATGAAAAGCTGAAGCAAAGGTAAGAATATGGAATCGCTAGACGTCACTTACGGTATTATCCGCAGCACTACACAGAGCAATACTAATGGATGTGAATAGGATGAGCAAGCTTTTCATTTGCTATTAGAGCTTGGAAAGCTATCTACGAAAGTCAGAAATGATTAACTGATAACTGTTGATAACCGATAAAGCATATAAACACAACAAACAGTTGATTAGATTCGGTCAGCTGTATTGACCCAGTGCTAATGCTTAGTTTTCGATGGAATTTCACAATAACTCATTTATTGTTTCTTATTATTATTTTTATTTTTATGATCAATTAGATTTAGAACGGTAAAGGTTGAAAGGGCGGTAAAATAATTGAATGTGAACAGACTACATTACGAAATTGACAAAACGCTTACCTGTTCGCTTTCCAAGTTTTTACACTAACACCTTGACCTTTGTTCTGTGAAGGTGTTTGGAACCACACACATCCACGCGTAAACAACATGTTTCTTCATTTTTTTAAATTTCAACGATGCTTTTCCATTATACATCATACTCCTATTCGATGACCCTATTCGTGTCTGAATATACGCGAGATGGCACACCTTCACGTTACGTGAACTTTCACATATGAGAACGTTCACGTCACGTGAATGTTTGCGTACCTTTGCATTACGTCATTTTACCTAAGCGCTGACGGAGGGCGGTTGTTGTTTTTTTATTCATTTCAAGTCGTTCATGTCCGTTTTAACGACTTCATGTCCGTTTTTTTTTGGAATTTTATGTCTTAAATCTCATTTTCTTTCATTAATTACCAAATTTAATAATCTTCGTCAATATATGATTGGTTTCAAGTTTTTATCGGGAAAAATTAACGGAATACTTCTTTAATTTCTTTTTATAGAGCGGCTTTGTTATTAAACAAACTTTTTATTTTATTTTATCAACAATTAATTGATTTCAGATACAAGATCGCGAAAAGAATAAAATAACGAGGCCGATGCACCAACAGAGAAAAAGAGACACGGAGAGACCACCAGCCGGTTAGTTATTCTTTATGGTTTCACGCTTCTATTAGACTACTAGCCCCTTCCTTTTTTTTCAGAATCAGATGGTAGAACGTTGAACAAGCGACCAACACTATTCCTTCTTGAGATATACAGGTCAGTGTCGCTAAAATTATTTTGATTGTTCGTTTGTTTGTCGATTATAGCCTGTAAAATTACTCGAACAAACAGCTATGACTGTTTCTTATGCATTTAATTGACTTTGCTATATGCGAGGCAGATATTGTCTTTCACATTGGACTGTATGTGAGTGAAGTACTATGAAGAAACTTGTAGCATAGGAATGCGCATGTATATCTATAGCTTTCACATGAATCTGTAAGGGATGGGGGATGGAGGAAAGAAGGGAGGAAGATTAAGCCATTTGGCTTTTTTGATTCGTCGAAAGTTGATGTCGAAATGTACAAAATGACTTGATTCACATTATCTTTTCTTCCTTTCAATGAAATACCAAAGTATTTTTTTGCAACTGGGATTGTCCTCGCTTCAGCTAGCGGCACGTCTTTGAAACTCGGACAGTAATTTTTCTGAAAAATGTCCGCCTTTACCTAAACGACCTTAACATTTCTTTAAACTTTGACAAAAATGATTTTTTTGTCACATAAAAACGGAATCAGTTTTCCATTTGTTATTTGATCAAATAAATCACTTTTTTCCGAATCAAAGTTTTCGTATTGAAAACCAGAAAAGCTTTTGGAGATTCTTTTCCGAAATTGGAAAAGACCCTTCCGTGCTTTAATTGGCAAAAGCCTTCCACCCCATCATGATGTCTTTCCAAGCTTTATCAATTAATTTTCGAAGATTTGGGACAGTGTTGAAGAGAAGCAGGTCAGATCCGGTTAATAATTGACGAATTTCAATTAAAAAATATTATTTTTTGTCTAAAAAACGTAAAGCAATACGTATATCCCTTGTTCGCGTGATGATGAAGATGATCATGCTGCTGGTACTGCGCGATTTGAAGGCAGAAGCAGCAGCAGCAGAAGAAGAAGAAGCAATTTATTTTTTCTTCTACACCATTCATACTTTCAATAGCTTAACTGATTTATTTCTATAAATGGCTTGTTTACTGTATTCATAACGAAAAAAAAACTTTTCTCAGAATAAACGGATAGGGGGTGATGTTGAAAAATGTTCTCATTTCCTTATTTGTAAAGAGACAGAGTGTGTGTAGTGTGAAGAGAGGAGCGGAAGAAGAAGGTAATGTACCTTCAATAGGTTTCCACTTTTTTTCTTCTTCATCACCGTCTTCCTCAATATATTGTTGTCAAATTTGGTAAACAAATCTGAACAAAACTTTTTTTGGGCTTATTTACAGCATTTCCTTCTTATCAATGCCTTCTTTAGTATATTGTATAAAGCCACAGTCATTCTAATCGTATCGAAGACTATTCGCACATCTCACACGAAAATTCTCTTTTCTGCTTCCCAATGTAACTCTCTATTTTTGAAAATTCTTTCGCTCATCTCACCGCCCTCTCTCTCTCTGTTTCTCTCTCTCTCTCTCTCTCTCTCTATCTCCCTTTCCCTTACACTCTCATCATTCTCTCTCTTTGTGTGTGTGTGTTCATTTTATTTATAATATTACGATTTTTTCCTTTCAATTCCAACCTATTTTTGACGACATCTCCAAAATTCCAAAAACCTTCGCCTAAGGCAATCTTAAGATTTGAGAGACTTAATTTACGAGATTTGGAAGATTTTTTTAGTTTTTTTCCCACTTAGTCATGCTTCCTCCTCTCATACTCTTTCTCTCTCTCTCTCTCTCCATACTCGCCTTATACAAACTCCTTCTATTTTTCAATTCTTCTAAGCGATTTTTTAATTTTTAAACTTTCTTTCGTGCGAAAAAGATCAAACAAACAAATAATTTTAATCAAAGTCTCTGATCTAAAACTTGAATAGATAAATATACAAAACTTCCTTGAATCGTTTTCTTTTCAAACAACATCTTTTTGAACCTTTTTCGATGTTTTTCCCACATTTACATGTTTCAACTTTGCTTCGAATTATTTTGCATTTAGGAGACCATTTCCTTCTCTATCTCTCTATCTCTTTCTCTCTTAACTCTCCACCACCTATATCCCTCCTCCTCTTCTCTCTCTCTCTTTCTCTCTCTCTCTCTCTTGTTGTACAAAAAACTGTCAACACAAATGAAAACAGTCACCCAGTTTCTTTTTTTTCTGAAATGTTGAAAGCCTTTTCGGAATCCTAAGGAAGAAGATCTCTCTCTCTCACTCTTCATCTCATGCTTACATATATCTCTTCTTCTGTCTACCGGTCTCAAGATTAAGCAATCCGGTCGAAAAATTCAAGTTTTCTCAAAAATCATCCTCAAGTTATTAAAGAAATTAATTTTTTTCATAAATTTTCATTTACAAAACCAGATTTTTAATTGTTTTATTATTATTAATTTGTCGAGAACATGTGAATGTGAAAAGGAAGGAATGAAAGACGAACTAACGATAGAAAGAGAGAGAGAAAGAGAGAGGACATTTGAATGCAACTGCTCGCGCGTCCATTACTCGCACAAATGATGTCAACGTGTTGTCGTGAGGTTAAATATGCAAATTAGTTGAGTGCTTTGATTTTTGTGATTAAATTTTGGTTTTGAAAAAAAAAAGATTTTGCAAAAGAAGAAGAACGGTAATTCAGGAGTTGGCTTTGATTATTTTGTTGACCGGCCTTGAAATTTGGCGTCCATTTCTAGTCGCATTCTATTGGACATCACGTTAGCTGTAGAAACAGTTCTTTCTCACATCTTCTCTCCTCAATCTCTTCACTATCTCATTTCGTCTTTTCTATCCAAAATTTCCATTCTTTATATTTCCTGTTAAAAAAGTTTTTGAAGAAAAAAAAGGAGAGAAAGAGAAAAGAACAGAATGGTTTTAGATAGATGGAAGACGAAGGATGGATGGGTATAGGTCGCTTGTATGTGTGTATGCGTGTGCAGTAAAGACAATTCCTTCATCTGTGTGTATGTGTGTGTGTGTGTGTGTATGATGATGTGTACGTACACGTTTTTCGATGAATTCTGACCCTTTTCTATCCTTTTTGTTTTTTTTTTGGTTGATATATGTGTTCATCATCATCTTCATCTTCCAATTGATATTTATTAAAATAATTTTCTCAAACCCATATAAGGTTATTGCTATTTCGTTACCATAAAAGAGTTTTTTTTGGTGTCGTCGACGAATCTTTAGCTGGTCGATCAGCTGACACATCTCTTGTCGCTTTCCGATCATTCTTTCTCAACATCATCATTGTCTTTCATTAATTTTCTTTTTTTTTGTTTAATTTTAAGTTTTTGTCTTTTCTGAAATAACTTATTTCGAATCCTGACGTCATTTCGTCGCATTTTTTCTTATTTTCACATCATCTTCCCATTCACCATCTGAAGTCGATAATTGTGATGCAAGAAGGGGGGAAAAAATGAATTTCCTCAAATTCGAACTTTTTTTTTCTTCCTTCTCTCCCTCCTTGTTTCATCTCTCTACCTCTCTATCTCCCCGTCCCTCTCTTCCTCCAGTTCCTCTTCTCAGAAAGTCTGTTCATTTTTCTTCTAATTTCGATTCATCACCTTCTTTACTATAAAATGCATCATTAATTTGTCATTTTGAATGTTTTTCCATTTTGTTTCATAAACGCCTGCGAACATTCCAAAAAGAAAAAAAATTTTTTTTGTCTGTGTGTCTGTATGTGTGTATGTGAAGGAACATCATCATTACCATAATTGAATTTCCTCTACTTCTCCTCTCTGCCTTATCTTTTGCGTCTTCTCAACACTTTTATTTGGTTTAAAACTATTTTTTAAATAACGAACGTGTTTGGTCATGTATTTTGGATTTTGGCAACTAGCCGACTGATGGTCGACATCAACATCCAGTTTTTGAGATACCAACAGCCAATTTTGACGACAATTTCATCTTTTGCTGTAAAATATTCCTCGAAGTTAACTATTTGTAGCTTTTTGTCGTATACCATGACCTCCAGCATCTGTTTTGACAGTTTTCCTTATTTTCCCTGACCTTCTCCTGTTTTTTTCTGGCTCAAACACAAACGCTCTCTCTCTCTTCTTCTCCTTCTCCTTCGCCGCTTATATGATTTTTGTAAAACGATTTTGTTGATGTTGCTTTAAGCTTCCATCATTCTTCTCTTTTATTTTTTTTTCGACTGAAAATTAAGATTTTCAAGTCTTCGTCTTCAGTATACATCTAGTTTATACGTGTGATTCACTATGTGTTTCTATGTCAGATCAAATGCTTCTGAATCAATTTGCTGATCTGATTTGCTATCACTTCCACGTATGGGAGGGCTCTCTTTCTTTCCATCTATATCAATCTCTCTCTATCTCACTTTATCTCTCTCTCTCTTTAAGTTTCCGTAATTACGTTGCACGTGAACGTCATTTATTCTAATTGTACTGTCCGACAACGTCGGCACAATGTAATTGTGAGAGAAGATGTTTGAAGGACAAACGTTTTTTTGTTTTTTTCTTGTCACATAATCTATTAAATGATTAAAAAGAAAAAAAAATATTGAAAAAGGGACATAAATGGAATTATTGCGCGTTTTGACCGCCATTTTCTAAGAAATATCTTGTTCTTTTCATTCACATAAGTTGTGTGTAAGGACTTATATTCATAGAAATTGCCTGAGGGTGCTTTAGTGATGTTGTTTAACAGTAGAATATTTGCTATTTTGAACAATTTGTTACTAATTTTTCGTTTTTTTTCTTCTTCTCCTTCCTCTTTCCCCCTTCTTCTGCGCCCCCAAACCTTTCAGCCGTTCTTTATGAAAGTTGATCTCTCTCTCTCTCTCTCTTCATCTCTCTCTCTCCCTTCGTATGTGGAAATGGAAGTATTCGGAAATTTGTCTGAAAATTCCTAAGAAATTAATTTAAAAAAACTTTTTCTTTCAAGTTTTTTTATGAAAAAAAAAAGTTTTTGAGTCTCTCTCTCTCTCTTTCTCTTGACAGTTTTGAACGTCTCTCTCTATATCTATCGCTCTGTATCTCTCTCTCTCTCTCTATGTGTCTTTCTTGTCATCATCTGTCCATTTGATGAACAGAACACATCTGGTTTATAAAAGCAATAAGCACATTTTTTTAAAATTTTATTAATATTACATCTCTTAAAAATGACAGAAATAATACATTTGATTTGAGTTTTTTCATTTCTCAACCTTCTTCTCCTCTTCTCTCAACATCTGTACTTTGACAGAGAAAGAAAGAGAGACAGGGAAAGCTCAAACGTCGTGTGAAGTTCCCAGGAATGGAAGTGATTTTGAAGAAAGTAAATTCCAAATATTTGGATGAAAAATGCCATTTCTTGACTCAAAAATTGCCGGCGTCGCTTACTAATTGAGATGATGGTTTGAACTTGGAGCATTACCCACGTATGTTGATGAAGAAAGAAAGGAAAGGAGAAAGAGTTGTTTGAATAATATTGTTCTTTAACCATATATGTATATACATTGAGATTTCAATATTCATTTGTGGAAGTTATGACTTTCCTTAAAAAATGTTTTGTTTCAAATCAATATTTATTTGATTTTTCACGTGATGTTACGTGGAATTTTTATCATTTTCAAGTGATTCAGACGTGATGAGCGGTTGCATTCTCTCTCTCTCTCTCTCTCTTCCTTTACCTCTCATCCTCCATCAGACTCTTTTTATTTTTCTTTTTTTTCTAACTGTCTCTTACTCTCTTATCCTCTCTACCTCTATGTTCTTCAACTATCTCTCTATTCATCTCTCTCTCTCTCTCAATGTGTGTGTTTCTCTCTCTCTTCTTTCTTTTTTTCTTATATTTTCGTTAAATCGCTTTAAGAAGTTTAGTTTTTCATAGAATTTTATTCGAAAATCTCCAAATTCTTCATAAAACTTCTTTAATAAATTCATTTTAATTTGAATTTATTAATAAAACTCCGCGAAGACAGTGCGAAAGAGATTAAAAGCGAAATAGAAAGAGAGAGAGAGATAGAGATAGAGAGATGGATGACGTGAAGAAGAAGCAGAATTAGAAGAAGACGATGAACAGAGAGAGGAAGAGATACAGTGAGATGAAGGGAGAGAAGCTATAAAAAAGAGAAAAAGAAAGAATCAAATGAAATAAAAAAAACATTTGAATGAATAGCTTCTGAATGGTTTAGTTTGTCTTTTCCTCTGAGAAAACGTGCATATTACTGTCTCCTTCCCATCAAATCCGGCCCATAAAATTATATCTTCGTCTTTCCTTCTCTCTCTAGCTATGGATTCTCTCTTTGGCGTCTCTTGTAAGATGAGCGTTCAGAAGCCGGTCCGATACCGTTTTTTTGCCGTTCCGTTGTGTTCAGCCTCGTTTCGCATTAATTTTACGTGTAAAATTATCGTAAACGGACAAGCAATTGAAATACAGAGAGAGGAAGAGAGGGAATAAGATATCTATAGAGAGAGAGAGAGAGAGAAAGAGTGAGAGTAAGAGGGGATGACAGTAAGAGATATAATATTGGATGAAGAGAATGTCTTATTCAATCATTTTTGTTCGTAAGAGTGCCCATCTCTTCGTCTTCTTCATCCTCTTTTTCTTCTTCGTCTTCCTCCTCTACATCGTTTCTGTCTCATTTCAATTAAATTGTATTTTTAACTTTGACCACCCATTCAGCTCTTATTTCCTTATTACACTCATTCACTCTCTTTCTCTTTCTGCACCTCTCTCTCTCTCTCTCTCTACAGCTATATATGGGTGACAGCAGATGACTGTAGATTTTAGAATATGATGTTTCTACCAGTTTCTCATATCAGCTTTTTCTCATCTTCATCTTCCTCAAAAACACTTTGAAGTCTTCTTCTTATCATTATTTCGATAACTTTCTCTTCATCTTAGTCCCTCTCCCTCTCATTCTCTCTCTCTTCATAACCCCCTCCCCTCCTTTACTTTCCTGTTTCTTATAAAGATATGTTGCTAATCTATAGACATTTTCATCAAAAAGCTAATTTGCCTTTCGAATGTGAAGCCCCCTTTAGTACAGTGTGACTGTTTTCTTCTTCCTTTAGTTACATTAAAAAAGTAAAAGTTAAGATGGATATGGATGTCTTTTTACTAATAGAATTGTTCTTTATTAACTGATGAAACAAACATTTCATTTCTTTTCCACTTTCCCTCTCTCTCTCTCTCTCTCTCTCTCTCTACTCCCCCCCCCCCTCCCTTCCCTCTCTCTCTCTTTATCTTCTCCTTATTCTTTCCCTCCCTCCCTATCCACCATCACATAACCCCCCCCCCCCCCCCTTCTCTCTCTCTCTCTTATTTGGAAAACGGAATGCCAAAACGATTTCCAGTTTTTATGCCATCGTATTGGCTTTTGCAAAACCAAATCTGGCTGACTTCCATACAAGGAAAAGCAACGGTCCCACATGTAAAAGCGAACTCTTCTTAATCTTGCTTTTTCTTGTTTTTTTCCCAAAATAATGTTTTTTATTAAAAAAAAAACTTTTTTTTATATTTTTCCTTCTCATAAGCTCCGCCCCCTTTCTTAGAAGTTGCCCTTCCTTTGTTGCCGTCTGTCTCTTTCAAGCTTTTCATTTTCTCTTCAACTTCAATTGCTCTTTTCTCAAGTGGAATGCCTAAAAGCTAATTTTGAAAAAAAAATTTAAGGTCCCACACCGAATGTCCGGCCTTATCTAATGTTCCCATCCATCCCTCAGTCCTGTGTAATGTACCGGTTTGTACCATCAGCCAAACCATCCAAAATTGTATTTTTTGTGTTTTTTTAAAAATTTTTTCGTCGTTTCCTCAATTAACGATAAGAGGATTTCCAATCGCACATCTCATCTGTGATCATTTTGAATTTCATCGTCATCATTTGAATATGTCTAGTTTCAGCTCATGAGCTCATTGGTGAGTGGGAACAGTATTCTACATATAGCGAACCGATTAAGCGATCTCAAGAAAGAGACGCCAGAAGAAGATGAGCATTCATCCCATTTCCTTTCAAGTTATTCCTCACCTGAAGCCATAATGGATGACATGAATATGAAAGCTTCTGTTGATGATGACGATATCGAAGAGGACGATGATATGGATGCACCAGGTGAGCCAGTTAACCCCTTTCTACTTTCTCTCTCTGTCATTCCCTCTATGCCTTAGTCTCTCCCTCTCTCTCACTCTTTTGACCTTTTTCAACGTTTTTTGAGCTTATTGATTGAATAATTAGAATAGAATAAGCTTTTATGAAGTTCAACAAAGGCAAATTGCCATCAATGACTTCGTTCAACTTGCCTTTTCGAATGAAAAACTTTTCTTTTTTTCATTTCAGCTGATATGGAGTCTTGTACTTTGAATTCAAATGATCTGTCCACTGATAAACTTCCATTCTCCATGTTTGTAGATAAAATTAATGTAAGTTTTCATGATGAATTGAATTTTGAAAATGTTTTGAATGTCTTCAGCATCAGCCATCATCTCCATCCACATCATCAACTAATCACAGTTCTGATTCAGTTCCTTCGCCTAATTTGGATTTACAATCAGCTGTGGCTCAGATGCAACAACAACTTCTAGCAAATCAACAGGTTTCATTTCGACTTATTCATACCTTCCTTATCTCACATATAATGTAATTAAGAATTACGGCAATAAGACATGTGATGAGAATCAAACGTCCAACTTAGGTAACGACCAGATGGTTACAATGAGAGGTAATAACTATACACATATCATGAATAAGAATCATTATGCATATTGTAAATCGCAGATTTAGACTTGTTGCCCGGCTATTCGCCATGGCTTCGCAATGCTGGACGCAAGAAGTCTCACCCTGTTTGGGAATTTTTCAAAGATCTTAAAGATACAAGTAAATATTACTATATAATATAATCTAACATAAATATATTCATTTTTAAAGAAAATTTACAAACAGATGGAGCTGGCGGAGTTGTCTGTCTTCATTGCTCATGGACAGGAGATGATAGAAGTCCGAACAACCTACGTACACATCTCAAGAAATTTCATACTTCCGACGGCATTTTTGCTCAATTCAGCCAGAAATTAGCTCAAGTAAGCCTATTCCTCATCTTCATAAGCATGTGTTTCTCTCTTTGAAATTCCATGGGTAATGAATAGAATTTGCTTTGAAATAGTTTGTCGAGAAAATTGTCGATTTCTCGCGGCGTTTTGAACTTTCGTCGAATATGTTGGGAGGGAAAGAGGCGGAAAGCTTCTCAAGGATTGAAAAAAATGGTAATTTTCTATGAAAAAATAGCTGAAACTTGCAAGCTGGACCTAAGATCAACTTTGGAACGAATGTCAGCTTCTCTATGAACAGTGAAGTTTGATGTGCTTCGTTGCTGCTGTTTTCATTAGTTCTCAAATTGTACCTTATATGGTTAATTCAAACCCAATGAGAAAAGAATTTCTTAGATGATTCCCTCGTGCGTTCTATCCGTTTCTCTACTGTCATTTTCATTTCGATAAGTTGGGTTGTTGGAGCGACAACAGGCCCAGCAGGGGGACCTCAGGCCCTCCCCCTCCCCCCGTCCTTGAGCCCTTTTTTTCAATCAACTTTCTTTATCTCGCTGTTCTCTACTAATTCTTCTTCTTCTTTTCGCATCTGCATCATTTAGTTCTCTCTGATTCTCTTCAATTTAATAAATGTCTCCTGGCCATGTTCTAGTTCGGGCTATGTAATCTGTTTCGGTCGTTTCAACTCAACTCTGTCCACGACCCCGTCCCCCGTCGATGTCTCCTCCTTCTTCTCTCCGTTCTTTTCATGTTGAACCTCCTCGTTGCGCACACCTCTTTTTCTTATTCTCTTCTTCAACAACCCCCGCATTCTGCTTCTTCATCTCCTCCCCCCCCCCTCCTGTTTTGTATGTTCACAGGACCCGCAAAACGAATTGCGAGAGGAAAGGGGAGATTGCAAGCTATGAGAGACGACAGTTCAATAGAGAGAAAATTGAACGAAGAACGTCTCGTTCATGTTTTCTCTTCACTATTCTAGATGGTTGATGGTCAACACTTTTTTTTTCTCTTTATGTTTTTTTCGTTATTATTTATTTCCTTTTGGATAAAAAGCGGCTTCTGAATAACAGTTAATGAATTTATATTTTAAAGAGGACTGAAAGCAATGCTTCTTCACTCCTTCTCTTTTTTGCAATAAAAGAGGGAAGCCGACAATCAAATGATCCTGTTGACTTTGAGAAACTCCAGTAAATCCTCTATTGCATTTCTTTCTCTCACTCTCTCACTTTCTCTCTCTCTCTCTCTATGTATATCTATGTATATTCCTCTCCTTCTGTCCTTCATTTTACCTTTGTTTTCACTTTTTTTTCTGGTTATTATCTATCAGCTTCTCTTGGCTCTTCTCCATTTTGTGTCAGTTTTTTGAATACTTTCGTAGTTAGTTACGGCTATTCAACTCAACTTCCAAGGTCTCCGTTCTGATCAGTTGACATGCAGTTCTCTCCCCTTTTCGATTTCTTCCTTCTCACTCCTTTTCTACAATCAAAAGCTTCAAGATGCTTCTGAGCTTCCCTGATTAGGCGAAAAAAAACAACAAATCAATAGACTGTGTTATCTTATCTTGAATCCAAAAAAAAAAGAAGAAGACAAGAGCCTTTGAAAGGAAAGTAGCTTGTTCTGTAATGTTCATTTTCCACTCAAATAGTCAACTATGCTTTTGATGATCGTGACATTATGAGAGGGACACAACTACGAAGATAGAAAGAGCGGGAGGGGGGGGGGGACAATAGAAGAGTTGAGAGATGAAAAAAGGGGGTCTGTGTAGTTATGTGTGTTCAGCGGACCCCGTCTATCGATTCGGGGAGTTGTTTCCAGTCTCTCCCTCCGTTTCTTTCTCTCTCCCCTCCTTCTGTTTCTCTCATTCATACCTTCGTCTCTTGTTATCCATTTATATTATTCGCATGTCGGGTTCTTCAACATCCAGCCCCCCCCCCCCGTATATAGTTGGTCTATTCTAACTGTCTGATCTCTCTTAGATTAAGTAATGAATATGTTCACCTCCTCATCTCTCCCCCCCCCGCCTAACTGACGACAGCTTTCCACCCACTACCATGGAGTTCCCTCTTCTGCCGCCTTCTCGTTATCGCCCTTATTCAGAATATAAATTTGAAGAAGGTTGAACGATACTTCAGCAACCTAATGTTATATGTGCAATATATCCTTGTTGATGAATAGCTATCATATAATTATAGTTTCTATCTAGTTCACTCATTCAAGTACATAACCCTTTCTCGTATTATCTGTTTTTTTCGTCAAATGCGTTCATTTTCCCATCCGAAGCTCCAAGTAGTCTTTCTTCCATGCTTACAACGAGTCGAGAAGAAGCAAGAGAGAGAGAGAGGAAGAGAAAGAGAGAGAGTGAGATGAAGAATACGGGAGTATTTTGTCCATTTGAGTTAAAAGGTTAAAAAAAATGTGAAAGGAACCAGTTGGTTCGCTTAGAAGTTTTGCAGAAATGATGACCAGTTACCCGTTATTTCGTTTTATCCTCACTTATCCCCCCTCCTCTCTCTCCTTTCTCTCATTCTAATTTCGTTCTCACTGATTAATCCAACAGTCTTTCTCACATCATCAGCATACACTTACTTCTGAATATATCTGGCCATCTCTATTGATTAGCAATCAGAAGGAGACTCGAGAGAGTGAGATTGTATTGAATCCTTTTCTCGTTATTCCATATCTTCATGTTCTTTCGTGATTCTTTGTTTACAAAATATTGAAGAATATTTTTTTTCTCTCCAGCTCATCCACAAAACCTTGGAAAAGCAGCCTTTTCTAGTCATTTGGAAAGGTTCTAGAATAGACAGATCATCAACAATAAGCTATGGAAGTAGCTTCCGTTTCGTCAGATGAAGCTATAAATTCTTTGATTATTGCTGATGCTTTCCATGCTTTAACTGCTGCTGCAAGCACTTCTAGCTCAACTTCCACATCTACCACAACCACATCATCTAAAGCTGTTTTAAAAAGCCAAAAGACGAATAAGAAATCATCTGAAATCTGGGATCACTATCGCCTTTTGTCGGAAGCGCAGAATGTTGAGTGTGTGCACTGCTGGCGTGTTCTCAGAAGAGCTGACAGCTCTACGAAAAGCATGTGGGGACATATGACTGCGTTTCATCCGGATCAGTTGGCTGAAACAAACAGTCGAAAGAAGCGACGAATATTATCAGTAGTGAAGGATGAGGTCCGATACAATCCTTGTTTTTCTTGACCTTCGCAACGAAGCTCATTCAAAAAAATTTTTCACTTGAAGATATCTCATACTTATTTGTCGCTGTTTCAGACTCCAACGCAGCCGTATGTTAAACGAGCAAGAGCCGGAGCCAGTCTTCAACAACAGCAGCAACAACATCAGCAGGGCTCTTCATCCTCACAACCAACATCTCAAGCTGATGACGTTGCTTTGGTCATACAACAGCTCCAAAATGCAGCAAATGGTAGTAATTCATTAAAGCCCGTAAGTTCATTATCATTCTTCAAACCCAAAATTACTACTCGAGAGATTACCCTCATGTTAATCTTCCTCGAGGAACTCATGTATTCAAATGTGAACATCATGTTTCATGCATATGCCTGGATTAAGTGTAATGATGTGAGCTCTCTTTCAGATAAACTCCAGTCCCTTCAACTTCTTGGAGAACCTTCCAAAGTCCAATGAAGTCATAAACATCTCTGCTGGCTTCATAAAGACTGATGAGGAAGACGAGAGTATTGAGAACGCTAACGAGCCAGGATCCTCAGGTGCTTCAGCCTCAGGTGAAAGGGCCGTGTCAGACTCACCAATCGAAGAAACCAGCGGTGGAAGTCCATCTGTCTCATCAACCAATCAACTCAATGCTTTCATGAATATGGCAACGAATCCTTTAGTTTGGAATGCAATGTTGTAAGCAAAAACATTTGAAAATATTTTAAGAATCCTATTTTTAGAGCAAACTCGTCTCATGGATCAGCATTCTCGCTGAATGATGGTCAATGTGTGTCAATGTTAATGAAAATGGCCTTAGACTTAGATTTGACTATGTCATACCATAAAAGAAGGTGACAACATTAATTTAATTCTTTTTTTTCAATTTTTTCTCATTTTGGCAGGGGCGAGATTGAGCTGTGCTTTGAGAGTAACCGAACAGCTGAGAAATCTGGTGGGCGTGGAAAAATTTTATGTTTGAGTGATATGCAAAGAGAAATTAGGTTAATTGATATCGTTGTCATGCTTTTTACATTGACATATTGTTATAGAGTAACCGAACGCGTTAACGGAGCTCCAACAGATACAGAATTATGGACTAAAACAGATTTTAACCAATTTCATTGGGCTATCAGAGGCAAATGTCAGAAGGTGCTAGTTCGAGCATAATACAATTGGACATAATCAATCAAAAAAGCAGTCTTTCAATCAAACTATCAGCTTCCCAGACATCAATAACAGTTCTCCATATAATCTCGTACCAATTCACTCATTCGCCCACTCACTCTCTCTTCTCTCTCTCTCTCTATCTTCAGCTGCCTACCTAGAAAACTATTTTTATTTTAAAAACAAAAAGAAGTCGAATTAACGAGTTTAATTTTCATTTAATGTTCGTAGAGGAAGTTTGTACATCATAACCTTCAAGGTAAGACTAACTATCATCTTCTTCTTCTTCTTCATCCTCCTCCTCATCATCATCAGCATCATCATCATCATGTTATCTACAGTTAATTAATTATGAATATATCTTGTTGTAATTTTTAAATCAAGGCGATGGTTTAAATCCTAGTAACTCTCGTTTAGCTTTCTCTATCGGGTAACTCGACAATCATTTGACAACTTTGTGAAATTTCATAGATGAGATCATAAAGGATGACGTTTGATGTCAGAGTAATGTGTCATTCAGATTATATAATATATCAAAATAATCCTCAGTATCATATAAAACTTTCTTATATTGTCATGTATGTATGTGTTTGTTTGTATGTGTTTATCAACACTTCATCCTCTCCCTATCCCCTCTCTCCCTCTCTTCATCCCCTCCCCTCCCTTGCCTTAACTACTGTGCCTTGATCAACTCTCAATAATCGTCCATCCATTACAATTTGAAAATTTATAATAATCTCAGCTCAGATGTTTTCTTCTTTTTATTTTAATTTTTTTATATTATGGCTGAATCAATCTCATGAACATTGTGATATAATTGATAATAAAGGAATAATTAGTTTTGAGCTTTTGTATTCTTCTTGTAACTCATTGCGTCATACCAATATACGCAATAAACAGAAATAGAGTGAGATTGACATGATATCCCAAACTATATGCTCCAAAAACTGTGCGCTGAACGGCAAAACTGATTACTGTTCGCCGGCGGCAACACGTTCAACTGGTGAAAGATTTATATGTTTTTGGCTTAAACACACGACGTCTCCTACTATATTGTTCTTACAATGTTCTCATATTTTCCAACATCTTACACATCCATTTTCGAGATTTATTGCAATCAGTTTATTTACGTTTTCCTTTTTTCCACAATGAATCCTTCGCAATTACGTATTTTGAGTTTGAACAGTTTGTCTGTCTGTCTGTGACGTCGACACACGGAAATGAGATTTGAGTAATCTGACTGTGTTGAGCTCTTGTCTTTATACTAACAACACGATTATTCATTTATTACTGCACGATTGAATTTGCGGTGGTTTCAATTAATTTCATTCCATGTGACTGTCATGTGTTAGCGGTTGTGCATTATTTGATTCAGCATATGAAAAAAAACGAACGCTGTTTCTCAATATACTACATCTGCTATATCATATCACTCTCCCCTCCTGTTTTGTAAACTTATTGAGCTTGAAATGTTTTCTTTCCTATTTTCGTATCAATATCTAATGGTATGTATTCTTTTCTTAACTGGCTGTCGAACAATGTTTTTGTTTTCTGACTTGTTTTCCATCAGATTTCAAAGCTTGAGTATCGTTCTCCGTGCTTAATTCTTTATCTCTACCTCCTTTGGTTCTTTGTTAATACGCCTTATATTCATTTTTATTTTATTATCAGCATCAATCAAGTTAGACATGGTTATGGATACATTAGCATGTTCTTTTTCTGTTTCTTTATATAACTCACGAAAATAAGCAATTTGACACTCCCGTTCCGTTTTTTTTTTTTATATATTTCTGGTCGGCGGGTTAAACAAGAACTCGTGAACTCTAACATCTCAGAGTCAGTTACTGGAAGACTATCGCTCTCCTTATCTACAGACTATTCATCTTCTTCATAGTTCTATGCAAATCTTTTACTTATATCCACAGTCTATACCTGAAATAGATGCTTTCTATGAATCGTCCAGCTACTTACTACTGGTAACTACCTTCTTGTAGATAGTTGATTCATCATAATCCTTATTAAGCCCATCAATGGTATAGCCATTCTTTGTTTGGTTGTTTTTCTTTATAAGTTCTATACTGGAAATGAACCATTCAACTGTTATACATCGATTACAGTTTATCGCTCTTACTATCATATCTTCTCCTCAACATTGAGCTTAACTATCATTGGCACAAGAGGAAAATGTTTCAACGATCCGTAAGAATGAAAACGATGCTCCAATCGATTCTCTCTGAATTACAGTATCGCCGAGATTTTCATTTACTTTTTTAAAGAGCTATGTAATATGTATTTTATAAAATCTGAATTTTTAATTGCTATCAACCGATATCTGGCGGTATACCATTTCACGTTGTACGATAGGGTCTTCTCCCGACGGAACTGTCATGTATATCATGTTGTTTCATTGCATTTTTATAACAATAGCCTTCAGGTTATCCAATTGGTAATAGCTTTGTTACTCACAGTCCTTATACTTGTGATATTTGGTAAGCTGTTGCTTAAAGTAATCTTTTTGACCAGCAAATTTAGGTTTCATTGCGGATCCTAACGACCCAGAGAAGTCGAGTCTCGTTTCATTCTGTCTAACGACGAGTGAGATAAGCTTGAGCTTCTTGATAAACATGGTTACACTTAGAAAACTAATAAAAGGGGTACTTTTTTATATTTAATAATCTCTGAGCCTTTATCTTCATGTACAGAGATCAGGATTGAAATCATCGAAGTCTGGCAATGTAGTTCGTACTTTCTGTTTTGCTTCATTTCAACTCTTCTTATCATTTTGTGTATATTTTACTATTGTCTTTCGTCTGAAGCCAGAATATGACTTTGCTTCTGTCGTCTACTTCACATCTGGAGAGACGACAAAAGATTTTCTAGAAGGGTATAAGCTAACAACAGCTCATACCAACTAATGAAAATACTTTTTTTCAGATGTGCCACCTTATACTTCTATCGAGAGGCCGTCTTCAAACGGTCTAAACGAAATCTTGTCGTAAGCACTACAATGGTTAAAAACAATCCTCAAGTTTAAACCATTTCTTGGTTTTCTCCGCGCCTGTAAACATTCTTTTCTTGTTTGGAGAAACATATTTTGCACATGTTGTTTGCCCTGAAATGGTTTTGTTACTTACTCAGCTCTGTCTGACTGGTTCTACTATTATTAAAAGAAAAATAAGAATATTATTTTCATTTCGACATCTTTTCAGGGTATGGCGTCGTGAGGTAACGTTTTCAATATGCCCCGCCCACAAAACGTGATTCAAACTTGCAGAAATGATTAAAGTAATGACAAATTTATATATAATCTCTAGTCTACTGATCTCCTGATGTTTCTAAACAATCCAATTATTGAAACGCTTTATCTCCAGCTTACTCGAATTCAATCTGATTACAGCTTTAAGTATATTTAGAATTTCGAAATATGTTTACTAGGTAAGCAAAGAGCATTTCATTCGTAACTTCATTCACTCTATCTACAGGAAGTACACCTCGAGGTAAATGAAGCTATTTGACTTGAAGACTGTTTCTGAGCAGCTTGTGACGTTCAGTCTACAACTCTCGACTCTCTGTGATAGTTATACGGTTTCCTAAGTTATATTTTATGAGTCAATAAAGAGTCTTTTCCAACAAGAGCGCCTTCGTTTGATCTTGATTAATTCCAAATATAATAATCCGTATTACAACGGTGCGATACTTGATTGTTGCGGTTTGGTGTTGAAGTCTGATCAGGAGGAATCGATCAGTCTGTATCGACTTTTTATTTCCTGTTAGCCTTCTTTGCTCACACAATTATTGGTTACTTCTTACTTTTTCAATTTTTTGTTACACTTTCAAATTTTCTGGGATGCTTCTCCTCCAAGTCATTTCACCTTTTGTGCCCTAGTAGGTTGCTTGCCAGTTGTTTGAATGAGAGCTGTTCGTAATTGTTGTGTTTCCCCTTAACCTCGCCCAACCTTTAGAAAATGTTCTCCTGTAAATTGAATCTTGTTGTATCTTACGGTTTTTGCTCTCCACCCGTTCAGTGTGCCTGTTTGTAAATCCGTTAGAACCTTTTACCACTATCCGTCTCTTAAAACCAGGTGAATTGACCTCTTGTCCGCACTGTGTCCGAACTTGTGTCATGTCTATAAGGAGTACGTGTCAAGTGTAGCATGAGGAATTTCTCAATTTATTACGATCCAGCGTGATCCAGCGATTCAGCGTGAATAGTTCCTGGATAGTCTCTGTTACACATCTTTCCGGAAGTTGATTACGTCCTACAAGTCATCGTTCGGAAAGTTTGAAAGTAAAAGTATGCCATTTCTGTTTTGTTGATACGGAGAAAAGTTTTTTATACGAACTCTTAGGGTAGAAGGAGTGAATGTTGAGGTGGATTTAAAGAATTCAAGGGAAGATAAAAGACAGAGGAATAAAGAGACAGCTTGCATATTTTTATTTTTTTAAAATTTTTCTTAAAATTCTCTGAAACTATTTATTTTCTCCTCATTCCGGATGTCTCGCTGGGACCAATATAAACTTGGGAAAATTCAGAAAATAATTTATTTCTCTCAATTTTCTCGGCTTTTCTCTTTCTCGCATTCACGATTTCGAGAATTTCGAGCACAGAACCTCCTTCATATGTTTATTTGCAGGAAGTGCTCAAATTTTGTTGTTTTTTTAATCTATCCATATGTTTGAACTGTTTCTGTTCATTATAGGAAAACCAGAAAGAAATTTTTAAATTTAGCTAATTTTCGGGAAAGTTATGACGTTTCCCTTCATAGCAAGTGCGCGGGCGGATATCACGTTCACCACCGGTGACTTCGGCGTGATAAGTTCTTAATGAAACGTGAAATATTTCATTTTTTTTTGGTAGAAAAAAAATTCCCGGCGTCCTATCACGTTCATTCCGTGATTGTGCTTCTGGAGTGAGCGGTCGTTTATAACAACTTCACAAGCGCGGCGGTTTAAGATGACGGAGATCATAACTTTGTCAAATCTTGATCGTTTCAGCTGATTTTTTTTCACTCTGAGATCTTACTCTTTTTATATTTGTTTGAGGAAAATGTTGTGTGAGAAGTGTTTTTGTAAAAATCAGACCTGAAACACGTCAAATAATGTTAACCCCATGATTCCATGGGAGAGGAGTTTCCTAGCAAGAGATTGGTGATTGACCAATCCATTTATAGTTAGGTGGTTATACTCTGGTGGAGGGCGGAGTCAATTCCTCACCCTGACCGCCATTATGAGTTGTGCAAGGATCGGGAGAGGTTGTGTTTGTTGTTTATCTTCTGTTTGTTTTTTGTCAGGATCCTCTTATTTTTTTGAACGTTTCTCGGACATACTCTGGCTCAAATCGTTCTCTGATCTCTATCTCGTACATTGGGTTTCATGTTTTGAGCCAATTTCGAGATTCTTTGTAAGACATTCGTTAGGCGCATTTTAAGAGAGTCTTTATCGAAACAAACTTTTCTAGCAAAAGTTCTTCTTGATATACCCGCTTTTATTTGTTTTTTTTGAACATCAAGTATCTAGGTTAACTTTGTACCTTCATGTTAGCACTCATCGAGGACAGTTTCTCACTCTCTTCTCAAGCGTAGTACGTGCTGTCAAAAGGTTGCTGATGAGAAAGTCTATTTCTTTCGAACTCTCATTGATAGATCTCACAACGATTCTTTTTTGAAAATCAATTTCAACTTAGTGCGTTCATGTCCATACTCTATCCATTCAGTTCCAATTGCTCTTCCTAACTATTGTCGGCGCTTTCAGTTTTGTTCATGCTTCGAAAAGTTTTTTTTTCTCGAAAATTTACTCATACACAGCAACTGACAACTGTTTTTTTCGATAGTCAGGTCTTTACTTGGCCGAAGCATGCTTGCGTCTATACTCGATCCAGTCAGTTCCATATGTTCTTCCTCAAATAATATTTTAAAAAAATTGTTTTCCGCTAACCAAAACAATCTTCTCTTTCATTTCCTCGCTCTGATGATTTAGCGTTTGTTCGTTTGAGAGAAGGGTATCCACAGATGGATGAGAGGGAACATAGAATACGAGGGAGATGAAAGAACGAAAACACAGAAAGAAAGTTTCAGATTGGTCGAGATAAAGCAGAAGTAGCGGCAGCATAAGGTAAGTTTGATTCTGAAAAGCTCGAAAAGGAGAGGGGTCATGCCGAATTTTTTATAATTTTTTACAAAATTTTGTAAAACCCAACCGCCCTTTGCCAGACTCTTTTACGCTCAGCACCACAGCCCTTCCGATGGAGATTTGAGCTAAGAGTCTGGCAAACTCATGGA